AATCCAGTCAAACAAAGAGCGTTTTACTTGGATCCATAACAATCTGACTCACATTCTGTGATGAAAATATTTATTATTTCCTAATGTCAATAAAATGAGTTGAGTTTTGTTTGTTTGTAATTAAGCACAAAGCTACACAGTGGGTCATCTATGCTCTACCCACCACGGGTATCGAAACCCGGATTCTAGAGTTGAGTTTAACAACTCGTAGATGACAGCATATTATGGCACTAAAACTCTTGAGACAAAGCTAGTGGATGTGGTTCATGTAGGTTAACTAGGTAATGTAGCACGAAACAGAGACAGTTTATTTGTAGTTACTCGTGTATGTGACGATGTGTAATGTTGATATATATCTTTATAATATATCTTTAATAAATATATCTGTGTGATGTTGTACACATGTATGGATGTTATACAAAGTCATCCATGAGTGTTATGTAATACAGTGGATCAAATACACCGAGAACACAATTATCAAACAACATATGAATGAAAATAAATTATTTATTCTGGAAATTAAGAATTTGAGGTGTGAAGTTAACTCTGATTACTGGCCCGTAAAGCATTATCTTAAAATACAGAATACTTAATATTTTTGTTATTGCTGTTTATTATTTTTCATCACAGAATGTGAGTCAGATTGTTATGGATCCAAGTAAAACGCTCTTTGTTTGACTGGATTGCCTGTATTTATGTTTTATGATGGTAATTGAAGCAAGTGGGCCAGCTGCTAGTTCAGGTTCTGGTGTTGGCGGCTGTCTAGGACAGTAAACACATTTTTACTGAAGACTGTTGTATTTTATCTAAATTTGTCTGAACTTGTATTGTAAGTTATGATAGTGGCTGCCCAAGATAAGTTTAGCTCCCTAGTCTTAGTTTGGCTGAAATCTACCAGCTGCAATGCTAATAAATCTAATGAACATCATGCAATCTGCTCTGCCAAACTGTCATCACTACTTGACTAGATAGTGTGATAATGTGATAATTAAGTAGATATCACAAGATATCCTCTCCAGATATTTCTCCATAAGAACTCTACTTAATGGTTTGGAAAGTACCTGTTGTAACACCCATTTGACCCTGACAGTCTTGCAATCAGCATACCATAATAACTTTGTTATAATCAAGCAGCTATTACAAGATATTCAATGAACATATATCTATAAACTATGCTTCCTATCTTGGAAACTAGGGATCATAAAATCCTTTGATCCCATCATTATTATGGTATACGTAAAATCTTTATTTTTAATTGTCCATTTGGTTACCACAAAATTTAGTGCCAACATTTCATCATGAAATACTACCAAATAACAAGGAATCCCACACACACACTCTCTCTCTCCATCATTAATCTTACATCAGTGACTGTTCTAAGTGCTGGTAATCAAGGGAAAAGTTATACAATGTGGTGCCTACATTGCACAGTAAATATCACTTAATAGCCCAGAAAGCAAGAAATGCTAGTTCCTTTCAGTCATTTAGTTTCAACCAAATGACTATCCTAATTGCTGATTCAGTAGTTAATCACAGCCATAGTTATCAGGAGATCAGCATCTCAACCTATCATTAAAACACTCCAGTACCTCTTTTTCAGCCTCCTCCTCATCTGGCTCGTTTTGTATAGCCAGATAAGCATCTTCCTCTTCATCAGTGAGATGAGATGATACCAAATAGTACTTCCCATTTTCCACCAACTCTTCACTCTCCACCTCTGATTCCTGTTCATGCCAGTGCATGAGAAGCTGACTAGTAACATATGGTCTTAACTTGTTGACTTGCCCCATGCACCTATGTACACCACACAATTGCTGTACCTCATACGTCAATAGACCATTCTGTCTAGGGACAAGACAAGGACCTGTACAGACTTAGCTGAGCTACTTTCATACTGCTAGCATGTGCCAAAGCCATATCAGGTCTCCATGCTGGAACTTACATTCTTTGAATGCTTTGTTATAACACCTCCTCTTCTTTACATTGACCCTCCTTACCCGTTGGCATGCAAACTGTGTACATTGACCAATGAGGCCCCTAATCACTCCAAATATTATTGTGGACACTATGGAACATTTTATCTAGGGGAGGATCATTCATCAAATCCACAAAGATCAGTATTTCAACTTACCATACTAACTTTGTGATAATCGAGCAGCCACCACCAGGCATTCTATGGATATTTATCCATGAAACTCATCTCAGTAGCTTCAAAAATAAGAGTCATGACACCCTTTTGGTCTCATCATACTTATGATCGACATACTATCCTCACGTGTTGATAATCAAATGGAAATCACAAAAGGTAGTGCCCATATTTCATCGTGAAGTACCTCCAGATAGCTTGGAAAACAATAAATGTCACTCACTCTCAGTCTTTGGTCTTACAATCATTGATTGTTCTAACTGCTGATAATCAAGGGAAAAATTACACCATTTGGTGCCTAAATTGTACAGTGAACATCACTTCATAGCTAAGAAGGAAATGAATGATTTTACTTCAGTAAAGAAAGCGTCTGTCCTAGTTAGTTTGATTGGGATTAGCCATGTTATGACTAGAGAACAACTCTCCACTGTCAAATGTACATATGCACATCAAATTTCAAAATCTAAGTAAAAATAGCAATTCTAGTTCTACTTCTAAATTACTCAAAAATATTTAAGAACTAATATTTTGTAGCTTTGAAAAATTTATTTTGTGTAATGTGCAGAGACAAATTTAAGAAATGTTTGAACTTTGATCTCTGTGCACTCACAAGGGGTATTTCCTTTAAGCATTGTTTTGTATTTACTCAAAACTTGTCATTCTCAAGATATAGACTTATCCATGTTTTGTTTCTCATGTAATTTTAATATTCTATCAATAAATTTTTCTATAACCTTACGTAGAAAGGTTTTTATGATGTCACAGTAAGTGGGTTGGACAGGAACTAATACAAGACTACAGAAATGTTGAAAAATTATATATACCTGTTAAGGAAGTTGGAGAAAATTGATATCTTATATACCACACAATCTATACACAAATAATAAAAATGTTAGTTCACAACATTACAATGTACTTAGATAAATATAATTCAGAATTGAAAATTGTACATCAATTATATTCTTAGTAAACACACAACTTGTGTGTTTATATCACTTTAACAATTTTAAGCGATACTTAAGCAGTTTGTCAATGGAATAAGCCCGAGATTCTGTCCTTAAGATCAAATGTAAACAATTTTTCAATTCTATACACTCCAGCTTTATACATTGGCAGTTTCAAAACATTAATTATTGCACTAAAATACTTGCTTAAGCAACTTGTCAACACTGTATATCTTGAAAATCCAACATAAGCAGTTTGTTATTATTATAGGCCTGCACACTACATGCTGCAAGAGTTACTCAAGCAGAGAGTCAATACTAACCACTGTAAGAGCTGTAATGAAACATTTTATTAGTGCTTTTGACACTGAGAGTATCCTTAAGTTTTTTTGTTAAATTTCTTCATCCTAAGTATATATTAAATATAGCATTTGTAAAATTATAGGCTCTGGGAGTGTTTCTTAAGAAGTGTGTCATTGCTATATACCCTATGAGTCCTATTGACACAGTTTATTAACACTATACACTATATGGATAGGTAGATATATATATACATATATTTGTGGTATTCACGAGTATGTTGTTTTCACCTTATAGTAATAGAGTATGTTCCGCAGAATAGCAGGAATTCCACCATAAAATATAGTTCAAAGTGTCAATCTTAATTCTCCACCTTTCAGTGAGTGGGGAGGAAAAGATGAGACTGTAAACAAGTTAAAATAGAATGAAATGATCTTTATACTAAACAAAGAACATCCAAAGTAAAAAATAAGGGTGTCTTGTTAGCACTTTGAAGAGCTCTCTACTTTACTTGAAACCTATCTGCAATCACAATCATTCATGCATCTCTGTAATCTGTTGCAAACTGAGAAAGCATACCATTATATATGTGAAAATCACAAAATCGTTTTTCTCAAGCTGCAGATGCTACCAAAATGACTAGCAGATACTCTCACTGCAAAACAAAGAAGTTTGTATCTTGAGGTATCGACTGACCTGCCAGTGGAAAATATCACTGCCTGTGTCTATATAGTGTGTTCCACTTTACAGAAATCTTTCCTACGAGAAAGTTTATACAACAAGTTAGTTAAATAACCCAATTCAGCAGGTAACTAGGGCGAGAGGAACATCTCCCTTAACTGACATTCTGTATGAAGACTACATACACAATATCTACAGAAGTTTTGAAAATGTTTATATTACATAAGTGAGTAAGAAACACGCAGTATGTCTACATACCATATTCTAACGTCCAACTTAAGTAGGTTGTCAATCCTAACCATCCTAAGAGACTTAATCAGGTTAGAAATGGTACTCACTTACTTAATTAGTTTACAAACATTGTAAGCTCTGTGTCCCGTGCAGTTTGTCAATATTACATAAACTGAGTTTCAAGCTTACGCACTTTGTAAACGCTATATATATTTCATATCTTACTTGAGTAGTTATGCAACACCATACATCCCAATAAACTTCCATAAGTAATTTGGAAACATAAGACAGGTAAGTAACCAGTTTGTTGTCACTACAGTCTACAGGTCTTGAAAACCTACTTAAGTGACTTATCAAAAATATATTTCCTGAGAGTCACACTTAAACAGTTTGTTAACATTTTTGACGCTGAGAGTTCTACTTAAACAACCTGTTAACAGTATGTATCTTAAACAATCTGTTAACAGTATGTATCTTAAACAATCTGTTAACAGTATGTATCTTAAACAATCTGTTAACAGTATGTATCTTAAACAATCTGTTAACAGTATGTATCTTAAATAATCTGTTAACAGTATGTATCTTAAATAATCTGTTAACAGTATGTATCTTAAACAATCTGTTAACAGTATGTATCTTAAACACTCTGTTAACAGTATGTATCTTAAATAATCTGTTAACAGTATGTATCCTACAAGTTCAACTTAAAAATGTGTTCACATTGCATCGTTATACTCAATTTGAGTCTTACCTAAACTATTGGTCTGTGTTATGTGTTCTGAAAGTTATACTTACGGCTTCTTGACGAGACCATACACTTAACCACTTGAACTGGTTGATCGTTCTTCCCGTTGGCAACGTAATGGTAATGTTTCTGTTGGTATACGTCCCTATATTTTCTTGGCTGAAAAAATAATAGCTGATAATCAGAACTCGTTTTATTTGACCAATTGGTGTAAGAAAAGTAAAACTGAACATACGTATACTTTATACTAAATGTTTGCGCTGGTTTGCTGGTTTTAACATGACTTATTGTTAAATTAATTACCTTTATTCAAGTTTTTGTAGTTGTGATGCCATAAAGGTATTTTGCACAACAAAATGTATTTTAATATTCTCAATTTTTAATGATTTCTGTAAGAACAAAGGATAGAAATTTTAATCCCTTTATGTGGAACAAAACAACTAGAACTGTTACATTTCGTTACAGTCCCGTTTTAACTGCAACAAACACTATGATTGATACTGTCACTACAGTTCCATTTTAACTACAGCAAAAGAAGAATAACTGATAGATTTTTAAACACCTAAACAATAATCTAATTTAGGAATTGAATATGAGCTATATCTACTTTACAGTGTTCTTTTCCTCTAAGGTGATTGGTTAAAAGTTAAATATACCTTCCAAGTTCATTTGGTACGATTTCTCCCTGAGGGGAAGGATTTTCTGTGTTTCCAACCCAAAAAAAAGCATCTGAAAATAAAAAATCAAATATGAGTTTTTCTACTTTGTTTTATTTTTAAATAGATGCGCTTAATTGCTACAAAGAGTTTGCATAACGTTCCTTCTCTTTGAAAAGTAGTTATTTTCGATTGTAAATTCTATAATTTGACCATGTTGAACCCTTATTTAGTTATCCTTGACATAAGAATGCATTGTTAGAGTTTCATATATTTAAATTACTATTCATTCTAAAATAGAGAAAAATATTATCAACGAAGGTCATGCCTAACACATTTCAGAATGTGGATCAAAATTAAACACCTGCAAACATTCCATATTGGGTTTTATGCTGTACAAATACATTATTTTAAAAGCAAACACCAAGTATAAAACTCACCATTAAGAAGTTATTTGTATTTAGCAATTAGCATACGTTGTTGGGAAAAGTTTCCATGTTGAAGGAACCGTCATTGTTGTTCTTTTAACCCATTTAAAATAAATGAGAACCAATATTTGTCTTACTTTTGTATTTTTGTTTCAATAGATGGCGCCAGCAACGTAATATGATTTATTTGGATACACAACTTTATGCTGGCCAGTATTCATAAATAATAAGATCACTTAATCATATCATGAATAAGTTTTTTAACTTTCAGTTAAGTTAAAAGCAAGTAAAACAACTAAAAACAACTCTCTTTATCCTGAAGGTCATTTTACTTAATCAACTCATAAAATGAAATAGCACACGTCAACCAAAAACGAATGTATATTGGAAAATTTATGCACCTGTCTATGGGAAATGAAATATGCTATGGAATAAAAATTACTTTATTCAAAAAAGTATGAAAACAAGACAATAGATATTTCACAAACATCACATATTTCAGTTAACAAATAAAAGCAGAATGATGAAATGATTCGATCTTTAAAAAAATTGAATTTATATTTTGCTACAGGTCTTGATTACTGCAAATTAAAGTAGAAAATATGTTTTATTTATCAAAAGTTTTGGTAAACTGAGTTTTTAATCGTTTTAAGTTAGTTCTATAAATTATAGTCAAATACTTATATTCTTGATAATTAACAAAAATAACAAATAGACAAGTTAAATACCTGATCCTTTTCCATCGTAGTAAAATTCACTTATGTAGAACGTAGTTGAACTTGCTGCATAAGCTTTTCCCGTGACTCCATGGGCATTAGTCTTAAAGTCAGCAATGTATTTACCAAAATACTTGGTGGTGTCTCCTTCTGTGGATTGGAACGGAAACTCAGTTGACATGAGATCGTTTGGACTACGTGATTTTTATCTAATGAAAACTGAACATCCTAAACTGTTAACTACTATAGCGGTCGATGTCCATCAATTAACCATTTGTCTGTCTCAGGTAAAACGTTTGAATTGTCTAGTTTTATTCGTCTTAATTCGTGTAGTTAAATTATTCCCACGCAATGATGTTTGTTTTGGAATTTCGCACAAAGCTACACGAGGGCTATCTACGCTAGCCGTCCCTAATTTAGCAGTGTAAGACTAGAG